TTTTTTTTTTTTAATCTCTTTTCTTGTTTTTCTCTTTTTCACCCTTTTCTTTTCTTGTTTTTCTCTTTTTCACCCTTTCCCTCGTATTTTTTCCTTCCCCTCTTTTCCTTCCTTTTTCTCTCTTTTTTTTCCCCCTTCTCCTGCTTTTCCTTCTCTTTTTTTCCCCTCCATTTCCCTCTTCTCCTTTCCCTCTTCCCCCATTTTCCCTCTTTCCTTTTCCCCTTTTCTTCCTTTTCCTTCTTTTCTTTCTTTCCCTTCTTCCTCCCCTTTCATCCCTTTCCCCTTCTCCCTTTTTCTTCCTTTTTCCTGCTCTTCTCCCCCTTTTTCCTGCTCTTTCTTCTTTTTCCCCTTTCCCTCCCATTCCCCCCTTCCCACCTTTTTTCTTTCTTTCCCCCCCCATTTCCCCCCTCTTTTCCCCTTTTCCCTCATTTCATTCCCCCTTTTTCCCCCCTTCCTTCCTTCCCCTCCACCTCCCACCATGCCCAAACACCACCATAACCCCCGAATTCCCATTTTTCCCCCCAGGAAAACCGTGGTGTGTCCCATCATCGACGTGATCAGCGACGACACCTTCGAGTACATGGCGGGCTCGGACATGACCTACGGGGGCTTCAACTGGAAGCTGAATTTCCGCTGGTATCCCGTGCCCCAGAGGGAGATGGATCGCAGGAAAGGGGACAGGACCCTGCCCGTCAGGTCAGTGCCCCCCAGTTCCCAAAAATCCCCCCCAGTTCCTGACATTCCGCTGCAGGATCAGAGGCAGAATGGCAGGGAAAGCCCCAAAATCCTGGTGTGTCCTCGCTGCTGCAGTGGTGGGAAAACCCCATCCCATGGATCCCATCCCAATCCCATCCCATGGATCCCACGCCATGGATCCCACGCCATGGATCCCACGCCATGGATCCCATGCCATGGATCCCATGCCATGGATCCCATGCCATGGATCCCATCCCATGGGTCCTGTCCCAATCCCATCCCATGGGTCCCATGCCATGGATCCCATGCCAAGGATCCCATCCCATGGATCCCATTCCAATCCCATCCCATGCCATGGATCCCATGGATCCCATCTCAATCCGATCCCGTCCCCAAGTCAATCCCATCTCATGGATCCCATCCCAATCTGATCCCATCCCCATCTCCATCCCCATCCCATGGATCCCATCCCAATCTGATCCCAATCTGATCCCAACCCAATCCCATCCCATGGATCCCAACCCAATCCCATCCCATGGATCCCAACCCAATCCCATCCCATGGATCCCAACCCAATCCCATCCCATGGATCCCATCCCAATCCCATCCCATGGATCCCATCCCAATCCCATCCCATGGATCCCATCCCAATCTGATCCCATCCCAATCCCATCCCATGGATCCCCATCCCATGGATCCCATCCCAATCCCATCCCATCCCCATTCCATCCCAATCCCATCCCATGGATCCCCATCCCATGGATCCCCATCCCATGGATCCCATCCCAATCCCATCCCATCCCCATTCCATCCCAATCTGATCCCATCCCATGGATCCCATCCCATGGATCCAATCCCATCCCAATCCCATCCCATCCCATCATTCAGGAATTCCAAAGATTTCTGCTTGTTCAGCTCCCTCTGTTATTTTGCTTCAAAGGGATTTTTATTCCCAGTTTTTTCAGGATTTAAGGCAAATATTCCAAAGGATTCCTGAGCATTTTTGAGCTTTGAACCCCAGGGATTTGCACTTAGCCCCGTCCCATCCTCTTCCCACAGTTCAGGAATTCCAAGGATTTCTCTTTGTTCAGCTCCAAAGTTCAGGAATTCCAAAAATTTCTGCCTGTTCAGCTCCAACCTTCCAGAATTCCAGAGATTTCTTCCTGTTCAGCTCCCTCTGTTCATTTGCTGCCAACAGATTTTTTTATTCTCATTTTTTAAAAATTTAAGGCACATATTCCAAAGGATTTCTGAGCATTTTTGAGCCCAGTGATTTGCACTTAAATTCCTGGTTTATTGCTTGGAAAATGGGATTGATAACAGAGCACCCTGAGGGAAAAATGATCCAAGAGCTTGTCCTGACCTCTCCCATTTAATTGCTGGAATCACAGAGTGGAACAAAACCTCTTCAATTGGAAATGGAGCTGAAAAAGGAACAAATGGAATAAATTCCTGGCCATGGGATGTTTGTTCAGCTCCAATGGCTGCTGGGGCTTCCTGCAAAATTCCAAACGAGACCAAAAAAGGTTTCCTGAGTGGGTGGAATGGATTTAAATCTGGGAAGTGGGAAGAATTCCAGTCCTGCAGGTGGAGGGATCAGTCCAGGGATGGAAGTGCAGGAAAAACTTTCCAAAATAGCTTTTGAAATTCCCCATTTCTGTCCCTGATTGTCCTGGAAAGGCTGGAATCAGGGAAGGGCAGATTTGGGGTTTATTCCCAGGAAAAGCAGAGTTTGTCAGAGGAAGGAGCTTTGGAACCATGGGAATTATTTTCCTCCTGATCCCAAATCTCCTCCCTGGGTCAGCAGCTCTTGATTAAAGCTCAGGTGTGCATGGAAATTAGGAAAATTAATTGGGAAAATTAATTGGGAAATTGGGAAAATGAATCATCCTAACGAGCTGCAGGGCCTTGCTGAACTCCATCCATCCTGGCTCTCCCAAATCCATTCCCAGGCACAGGGAATTTTCCAAGGAATTCAATCCCAGTCCTTATTTCCTTACCTTGAAACGGAGCAGGGCTCAAAATTAATCCCGGCTCAGAAACGGAATTAAAATTGATAAAGCCAAAAAATGGGGTTTGTTTAATTCCTTTCTTCTTTTTTCCATCTTTTTTTTTTTTTGCTGGAATTTTGAGGGATTCTCTGGGTAAAAAGGGAGTTGGGAAGCACAGGGGGCAGAGGGACAGATGTCACCTGTGCCACAGTTGTCACAAAGAGCTGAGAGTGAAGGGTTGGTGCTTTAGGCTGGATTAAGTCCAAAATCTCAGGGTTTAGTCCAGGAATTTCAGTCTTTGGTGTCAGGGAATCCCAGAATTATCCAGGAATCATGGAATCATGGAATTATCCAGGCTGTGCTGGATTTTTATGGATATTCCCGTGTTTTCCCTCAGTTTTTGAAGCTGAAGGCCCTCCAGGCTGGGTTTAGAAATATTATAAATGTGGATTGTGGTCCAGGAAATGTTTTGTATAAATTAGGGATCGAGAGGGAAAATGCAGGATCATATCCTAGGAAAAAATACAAGATCAAAAAATAGGAAAACCCACAAGATTTAAATATCTGGAATGAGTTTGGATCATGGAGTCTCCTGAGCTGGAAGGGGCCCCCAAGGACCATCAATCCAACCCCTGGCCCTGAAAGACATCCCAAAAATCCCCAAAAATTCCCCCCTGAGCCTGGGAACATTCTCCAAATGTTCCTGTAACTCTGGGTATTATTAACATGTTCCTTATTACCTTGATGTTATATGAATATCTTAATTATTAATAATTAAACTTAGAGTTGATTGCAGTTAATTAACCCAGCCCGGTTGATGAAGAGCAGGGATTGATAATTGATCCTTTATTCCCACAGAGGTTTGGTTTTTGTGGGATTTTGTGCTGGTGGAGCCCTTTGGGTGCCCAGGATGGGATTCCTTGGGAAAAGCAGGATGAGGTGATGGCAGGGCTGGAAATTCCTTTGCCATCCCTCGTCCTCTGCCATCAGGAAATCCTGGCATGGGTTTGGCTTTTCTGGGATGGCTCCCGTGTTTTTGTGTGCAGGAATGGGAATGCTGCTGCTGCTGCTCAGGGCTGCAGGAATTGGGAAGCAGATGTTGTTCCCAAATTTAATCAGGTGATGATGAGAGTCAATCACAGCCATTCCCACAGGGAAAAGATGCAGAGCTGAGGAAAGAATTTATTTTTACATTTTAAAAACCACTTTAAGCCTGATGTTTTTGGTGGAGGTGGATTCCCAAGGAAAGCTCTGGTTGTGTCCCATTAAATTCACATCCCAGGGAACATTCCTGCCTGCTGCATTCCTGTTATCCCAGGAGCTGGGCTAGGGATTAGGGCAGGAGTTACTGAATTTTCCAGTGTGAACTTTGGTATTCCCAGATTTATCAGGGAGGGATTTAGGAAGAGTTTGGTTTCAGAAAGCAAAACTGGGGTCCTTTGGGAGAATCCAGGACTGTGTGTCCAGTTCAGTTTCATCCTTCAAAATTTGCTTAAGGCTCAGTCTTGGAAAAAATGGGAAATTCTGTGTTGAGCAAAGAGTAATGAGAGTATCCATGTGGGGGGAGGAAGGAGGAGGAAGGAGAATGTTGGGATTGGGAAGGACCTTAAATCCCATCCCATTTCATCCAGGGACACCTCCCACTATCCCAGCCTGGCCTGGGACACTGCCAGGGATCCAGGGGCAGCCACAGCAAATCTGGGAATTCCCAATTCCCAATATCCCATCCATCCCTGCCCTCGGGCACTGGGAGCCATTCCCTGTGTCCTGTCCCT